GTGTTCCCTCTTTTCTTTTTAATCTCTTGTCCATCAGTGCTTTGACACAGTCTTCTTCTATCCTTGCTAATTTTTCTTCTTCTCTTTGTGTTCTTCAGGATCATGTTTCAGGAATGATGATTGGGATTGCTAAACGCCTGGGTGATCTTTACATTTTGGACACCACCAATCTTTTTTCCACTGACTCTGTTCCCCATCCCCTCTGCTTTTCTATTTCTGTTAAAAATAATGTTGTATGGCATTCGAGATTAGGTCACCTTTCTCCTTCTGTTTTAAATTCAATGAAAAGTGCTTTGGGTTTTTCTTATTACTTACCAGCTGACCACCATTGTTCTGTTTGTCCTTTGGCGAAACAAAAACGCCTTCCATTTATTTTGGATCCTAAAATTGCTGCTTCCCCCTTTGATCTTGTCCACTGTGACATTTGGGGGCCCTTCGTCTCTGTTGAAGGTTCTCGGTACTTCCTGACCTTGGTTGATGATTCAACCAGGTTTACTTGGACTTATTTCCTGAGTAACAAGTCTGATTTTTCTGTTGTTTTTCCTTCTTTTTACAATCTGATTTTTACTCAGTACAAGATTCCCATTAAGTCAATTCGTTGTGATAATGCTTCTGAATTTAATCTTTCTTTTTTCTTTTCCTCTAAAGGTATTCAGATGTTTCACTCTTGTGTCGAACGTCCCCAACAGAACTCTGTGGTAGAACGCAAACACCAACACCTCTTGAATGTTGCCCGTGCCCTCCATTTTCAATCCAAAGTTCCCCTACAGTATTGGCAAGACTGTGTCTCCACTGCTGTATATCTTATTAACCGGACCCCATCTCCTCTGCTTGATTTTAAAAACCCCTTTGAGTTACTTTGCCACAAATCACCATCTTATACACATCTCCGTACTTTTGGCTGTCTGTGTTACAGCTCAACCCTTCCCAAAACTCGCCATAAGTTCTCTCCCCGTGCTTTGCCATCCATTTTTATTGGATATCCTGCGAGTTAAAAGGGGTATAAACTTTTGGATTTAGCTTCCAATCGAATTTTTGTTAGCCGTGATGTTGTTTTCTTTGAAAATATTTTTCCCTTTGATATGAATCACACATCTTCTTCCTTCTCCACTGAATTTTCTCACCTGCCATCTGCCCCTACCAACCCTGTACAACATTCCCCATCGTCTGCTATCTCCCGACCCACACGGTTTCGGCATCCTCCAGCTCACCTATCTAACTTTATTTGTTCTTCATCTACTCATCATCCCTTATCCAAATTTATTTCTTATAACCGCTTATCCCCTTCACACACTGCATTTGTCAATTCCATCTCTTCTCACTTTGAGCCTACTACATTTTCTCAGGCTTCCCAATTGCCAGAATGGCAGCATGCCATGGCTGCTGAGATCTCCACTCTTGAAACCAATTCTACTTGGTCTGTTGTTTCTCTTCCTCCAGGAAAGAAGGCAGTTGGTTGCCGTTGGATTTATAAGCTCAAATACCATTCGGATGGCTCTCTTGAGCGTTATAAAGCTCGTTTGGTTGCTTAAGGTTTCAGCCAACAAGAAGGTATTGGTTTTTTGGAAACTTTTTCACCGGTGGCTAAAATCACAACCGTCCGTGCTCTTCTTGCTTTGGCTGCTGTGCATAATTGGTCCATTACCCAACTAGATGTCAACAATGCATTCCTCCATGGGGGCTTGTTTGAGGAGGTCTATATGACTTTACCTCTTGGGTATTCTCCTCCACTTTCTGTTTTGCCTCCGAATGCAGTTTGCAAGTTACATAAATCTTTATATGGTCTTCGTCAAGCTTCAAGGCAATGGTTTGCAAAATTTTCTGCTATTCTTTTGAATCTAGGTTTTTCTCAATCCCATTCTGATTACTCTTTATTTGTTCGTCCCACATCTAATGCTTTCATTGCAATTTTAGTTTATGTGGATGACATCATCATTGCCTCTAATAATTCTTTGAAGGTGCAGCACCTTACTGCTCTTTTGCACAGCAAGTTTAAACTGAAGAACCTTGGTGAATTAAAATATTTTTTGTGCCTCGAAGTTGCACGCAGCAAAAGAGGTATTTATGTATGCCAACGACAGTATGCTTTACAGATTCTTAATGATTCTGGTCATATGGGTTGTAAACCACGTTCTACTCCTCTTGAAGTTGGCCTCAAACTTTCTTCTAATTCTGGTGATTTACTACCTGATCCAGCAGTATACAGGCGTCTTATTGGTCGCCTCATTTACCTCACAATTACTCGGCCCGTGCACCTCATCTTCAGGTTGTTTACCGTTTACTGGGGTATGTCAAAAGCACGGTGGGACAAGGTTTGTTTTATTCCAGTACTGCTTCCCTTCAATTAAATGCATTCTGTGATGCTGACTGGGCTGCATATCCGGATAGTTGTCGGTCCATTTCTGGTTTTTGTGTATTCCTTGGTGATTCCCTCATATCATGGAAATCCAAGAAGCAACAAACCGTCTCACGTTTATCCACTGAAGCCGAATATCGTTCATGGCTCATGTTACATGTGAATTGTTGTGGCACTTTTCTCTGTTTAAGGATCTCCATTTTTTTCATCATGGTCCTGCACATCTTTTCTGTGACAATCAGTCAGCTTTACACTTGGCCGCCAATCCTATGTTCCATGAATGCACCAAGCATATTGAGATTGACTGTCACCTTGTGCGTGAACACATTCAAAAAGGGCATCTCACGACTGTCCCAGTACCTTTTTCTAAGCAACTCATTGACATTTTTACCAAGGCATTACTGCCCTCTCGGTTTTCTGTACTGTTGTCCAAGATGGGGATCTTAAATATTTACTCTCCATCTTGAGGGGGCCTATTAGCATATTATTTTGTTTCTTGGTTTTTACTGTTTTTCTTATTATTTTACTTTTAGTGATTGTAACTAACTAGGTGCTGAGGTGTACATTTTCATTGCTGAGTTGATTCTGTTTTGCACTTTGTGTGAGCACATGGTCACACCATTTTTCTGTTACGTTTTCTTTTGCTGAGGTTCATATATAGGTGGCTTCTTGTATTCTCTTTCACTACTTTTCAATGAAATGAGTATTCAGTTTCCAATTAGCTTTTTCTCTAATAACAACTCCCAATCCTCAAGGCTAGACCACTAATCCGCTGGCCTTCGGAATCCCAACATATCACTCCACAAGTTGCTCGCACTTGGTTCCCTTTGAAAGCACCATCAGTATTTATTTTAATCCACCCGTCATAGGGGGACACCACGCAACATGGATAGACACCACTCTATGCTTGGAATGGTTTGATGGTGTAGCTCCATATGCTGCATGAATTTCAGATATTGTTTGGTCCACAAGCTTATGGCAGATTTCTAAGGGAGGAGCTTGTGACCCATGTGTTTGGGCATTACGCCATTTCCACGGTAGCCAGCATGTGACGAAGAAGATTGTTCTCCACGGAATATTGTTTAGCAACCTTCCGCCTCTGCTTATCATTCTCCTCCAGCCAAGCCTTATGATCTGCATTAAAAAATAAGTTGCCCCAATTTGCTGGTAAGATCAAGCGCCAGAGTTGATTCATATAAGGACATCACGTAAAGCATGACAAATTGTTTCAGTCTCAATATTGTACATTGGCAAAAATCAACAGCATCTAATCTCCTTCATCTAGCATGCCATTCTCTAGTTGGGAGTCGATTGTGTATCACCTTCCACATAAAATTTTTGGCCCGTTGTGGACCTTTCCAGGTCCAAAGGTTTTTCCTAATTTTCTTTGGGAAGTCCACCAAACCCATCTTTAATCAGAAAGAAAGGGTTCCTCTCTATCTCTGTTCTGCATGTCATATGATATTTAGAGAAATGCAGACTTGGGACTCAAACATGTGATATGAGGGGAAGAAGACATTGTGTTTACCACTAAGTTAATGCCTTATGTTGGCCTACATTTTTGAATTGTTTTATTTATTACATATTTTATTATTAATTTAATTTAACCAATTCGATGAGTGGCTTTGTTACGATCCAATTACAAAATATGGAACTTGAGGGAAACATAAGGTTCTAGTATGGGATTTATATGAACTTTGAGTTCTCCTACCTCATGAGTCAGCTTTTGGAGTGAGGCTCTCATAAGATTCGTATCAATTGGTATCAGAGTCTTCTACTATAGCGCAAAGCCTCTGTAGAGCATGGTGTGGTATGAGACTTGAGTTCCACATCGGAAATATAAGGTTGTGGTATGAGATTTATATGGATTTTGGACTCTCCGACCGGTTCGTGTCAGACTCATAGATGGATTGATATCTCGACAGAGTCAATGATGTCTGAATTTAATAACATTGCATACTATGACTTGAGAGGGAGGGGGTTTGTTCCAGCGCAAAGCGGAAAGGTGCGTATTGGAGCGTGCGCGCTTGGTTGCAATTTTGCTTTGTACTGAAGTATATGGTGAACGGTCTTCTGGCCTTTTGTGTTGGAGCCACATGAGTCATGATTCATGAATATGATTACTGAATTAGGTGTCTCACAAGTCAGAAGCCAACCCCTTAACAAGGGGAAAACTAAGCAATGCCCCTCTTGACGGGATGACCATTCAACGAGAATCATCACAATATCAAAATTATTAATGAGGGTCATACTCATCCACCTAAAATCATCACCAAAAAATAACACGATTTCATATGTCTATCGGATTTTATGGTTCTCTGAAAAAGGACAATTTCATATGTATACCAGATTAAATCTTCAGTATTTTTATTCTCGTTGATAAGTAAGTACGTACTGATGATAAAGAGATCAACAAATTTTTGTTACTCAAAAGGTATTTGATTGAGAAACAACATTTATAGACATAAGATTTGAATTGAAAGACATTAATTGCTATGAGCATGGATAGCAGTATAATTGGCAAGAGAAATATATGGTACAAGAAAGAGAGTAGTCGAGTGTACAAATAACAACAACAAAAATTGCAGAACAATTCAAAGTTGAAATCCTGTAAAAAGAATATTAACAATCAACAATTAAATATTTAGAGTCCAAGACTCCAAGCATATAGCAACAAAGAGAAGCCACCTGCAGCATTACTCCCACAAGACCTTGTTGATGAAGAGCTAGAGGTTCTCCCACAGTCACTGCTCTCCTCTGCCCATTGCATCACGCTACAATCCGAAGACAACCTCTTTCTCATTAACCTCTTCTCTACTCCCACCATTTCTGGCCATACGGTGCCGTCTCCTACTTGAAAAACAAAAACACCGTGGCCGTTATTACCGTTGTTATCGTTGTTGCTGTTAACCACCCAACTCAACACGTCCCAATAGAACTCTACTTGGATGCCATCGATGAAGATTTTCTCGTACCCTCTGAATTTCCATGCCAGCCTCTTCACGACCAAACGAGTTTGACCATCCACTTTCACTCTCAACACACCTCCATCGCACTCAATCTCTATTTCGTGTTTGGAACCCATGAACACTGCCCGTGATATGTAACTCCTCTTGCTTCCAAACACGTGTTCTCTCCTCGACAGAAGAACTTGACTTTGGTGGGTTGTGGTGGTGGTGGTGGCATCATCAAGCTTGGTGTGGCGCCGAGTCAAATCGTGGAGAAGGTCACCAAGAAAGAATTGGAGCTTGCCATTGTAAGAGATTGCTAAGTAGAAGCATGACTCTGGCTCCGCCGAGTTTTGAATGAATTCTGCCTGGTTCAAGTTCCAGAGGAGCTTGATTTTCTGGAAATGGTGATGGTGGAGGATTGATTTTGAGCAGTGTGGTGTTCTGAAGAAGGAGAAGGTTGATGGGTTCAGAGAAATGGTGATGGAAAATATATCTGCGGCGTGGATGGTTAAGGAGTGAGAGAAAAGTGTTCTTGACCAACTGAGGGTGAGATAAGTGGGCGAGTTGCAGAGTTGAGTTTGGTATATGCAAGTTACCACATTCTGGGGAACTTGAGAGCAACCCATCCTGCTTGATGGTGTGTTGGGTTGGCTGAAACAAGTTCCGATCATGTTAGGAAGAGGGAGAAACCGAGAAAGAGAAGAAACTAGTTAATGTTTGATTAGCTTGGGGTTTTTATTTTTAGCTTTGGTGTGGATGAGAAATGGAGCTATAGAGAGACAGGACAGGAGGAGCGTGTGGGTTCTTGGTTTTGTCTAAGAACACAAGAGAAGGGAAAATTCTAACTTGTAAGCATGGTTTGAGATTGACAGGCGGGGTTGTTAAATTTTCTTTTTAAGAAATAAATGTTCAATTTTATGGATGTTTTGGAGGGTTGTGTTGTGTTGTGTTCCTTTCTTTTTTAGGTGAGATGTTAACGGAATTCTAGTGCTTTGCATCATTCAATGATGAAAACACAAGGCTTCCATCGCTACAATCATCAACTCCAGTTGTAGTGCCTTTAGCAGACTAATCATTGGTTCATGTTTTGCTTCCTTGATTTGCGCCTTTGACAAAGCTATAATGGGAAAATATTTCTTATATGCTTGTGAGCTGGGTTGCACTCAAACTTTCCAAGTCATTACAATCAGAACAAGTGACTTTGTGGTTTTTTTTGCACATAGAAATGGCCTTTCCAAAATTCTTTTCCTCTGTCAATCATCTTAAAAGGGAATTGAAGATGGGCCCAGAAGAAAGAAGTGGCTTAACCCCTTCTCTTTCTCTCAGCCGAAAAACACTTTCTATGATGCAATTTTTTAGCAAAAGCTAATATTTATCGGGAATAATACTCTCCATGTTATTTGAGAAAAAAAAATTTATATACCCACAAATTAAAGGTGGAACCTCACTCTATATTTTTTTTCTCTCCCCTATGCTCTCTCCTCTAATTTGTATTTATACCTGTTTATGTTTATAAATTTTTATTTTTAAATTGTTGATTAACTATATAAATTATATTATTTTTAAAATGATCCAAATTGTATATATGTTTTTTTTAGGCTTTAATGTTTTTACAGTGAATGTAGATAAGTTATCTACATTCGCTCTCAAAACGACATCATTTTGAATTGAAAAATTAAAAAATTATGATAAGAAAAACTATTATAACCCTAAAATAAATTATAATTACGAAAATATCTTGATTTCCATCTCAGAACGACGTCGTTTTGAGCTCAATGTAAATAAGTTATCTACACTAGAAAAAGCTAACCTTTTTTTTATAAAATGTAAAACTACCATTTCTTGTTTTTTCCAATGAGTTCTCAACAGCTTAATTTGATACGAGAAAATAAAGCCTACAGAGTTTAAAGGGAAACAAAGCCATTATTCACTACCAATACTATTCGTTCAAGTAGCTTGTTCGGTTGTTCCTCCTAACCATAATTGGGTAATTGATCAAACAGTGGATAATTGATCAAACAAGTGGATAATTGATCAAACAAGTGGATATAAACTAATTTATCACTAACAATACTATCGCCACATACGGTGGAGCTATTTGTTGAGTATGGTTCATATTTTATATATAGATGACCGATTTTCTTTCGTTAGGTCAACTTAGATCTCATTTAATTTTTTCTTATAAATTAAGTAACTTATAATGAGTATCAGTGATGCTAATATAATATAGACAAGCTATATGTAATTTATTTTGGGTGAATCAATATAAATCATCGTATTCAATTTCTCTTTTTTTTTTTTTTTTTCCAATCTGTGTGTCGATTTCCGGCACTATCTACTACCATTAACTCATTCTAATTTGGGCAATGGAATTAGGTTACATGGTTGAGGTTCGAGGTGGTCACCCACTTAGTAATAAGCAGGTGTTCCTCCATCGTTAGGTTCGATTTCGAACCTCCTTGTTCACAGCACCAAGAAACGTTAGATGGTTGAGGACTGCGTGAGGATAACAGCGCTCTTGTTCTTGACTTGGTTTCTATTTCTAATGGTTGTTCCAAATTTTCATTTCTAATGGTTGAGCTACCCTTTCTTTTAGAGCCCTACCCCCCCAACTTCGATATTTTTAATGAGATGATACAATGTTGAGATTAAATACCCATCATAAAGACCAGGGGGCTTGTTTCGTGGTGGGGTTGTATCCCCTTATCCCTTTCCCTTTCAGCTTACACACATGAAACATATTCAACAAAAGTAATGCTTTCCAGTCTAATTTTCTAATCAAGGGCTCTGCCCCACCGGATATAAACCCAATTTTTAGGTGTGAAAAATTTACTGGGATAACTTCTATTATTTAATTATTATTTGAGATGCAATTGGATAGGATGATATACCTACAGCATCAAATTCAATCCCCCCCAAATGTTAACATTTTAATTGCAATATGGTTCATTGCACGTTCAAGTCCACAAGCATTCTGAACTGCATCCCTAACAGGCTGCAATTTACTGGTGTGTGTATATGTCCCCCCACCCACTTCTTCAAGTTGACTAAATTCAATATGCCACCCCATGAGGAGTCTTCCTTTTCTTTATAAAGGCATTATTCTGAAAAGCTAGATTTACATAACTAAGTAATATTTGCACATATATTTGAAAAGAGCCATCATGGTTCTTCCTCTGGTGTATTGAATCGTCAGATCATTTCAGGAAAGCATCTGATTATTCAATTTGTATGACGCGAATGCCATTAGATGGCTGTGGAGAGAAGAATAACAACGAATAGAAGTGCAGCCAGTCCCACGAACATAAAGATAGCAAAACAAGCCTTCCATAGTGAAATCCTTGACATAAAACTAAACGGTTGAACCTGCTAGCTCACAAAACAGAATCAACTAATCAAGTGAAAGGAGGACCGAGTGAAGGGATGCAGAGATACCATGTTAACACATACATAGTAAATACCAATAAACAAAGTACATACATACCTCCACCTGACTTCTGTTTGCATCATCTGACTGCTGCAAACAGAAAACAAGAGGATCACACACCATTAGACCTTTAAAACCATAAAAAATTTAATGTCAGTGGTTATAATTTCTAAACTAGAAAAAAAACTTACCAGAAGAGGTTTCAGCAACTCTGATTGACCTTGGGAGTATGAGGTTTGCAACTGATCTGCAAATGAATTTAGGTAAACTATAACAACCACCAAAACTGATCCCATTAGTTGAGATCAGCTACATGGATCAATTAACGCTATTGGAATCTATGAAAAAACAAATTTCTAGTAAAACCATTTAGAAAAACAAGATGCCTTTTAACTCCTTAACTATAGCCCAAGGGTTTATATTCAAATGATGAGTAACGTACATCTGATTAGCATGCATATTTTAATTTCTGACTTCAACGGGGTGGAGGACAAAGGGAATAATCATTGGATCTGATTACAGTATTGAACTGACTGAGCTCTAAAATCCTTGCATTCCGGATTGAAGCAGGTTAGTTAGATGACATAGAGGGGCTTGATGATTCAGAAACAATATTTAGCAATCTTAAAGCTACTATTACTCACAAAAAGTGTAAAGTCGCATGAATGATGGACATGTTTCCTTTGAAAATTGTTGGATGAAATGATAAATTTTTACCTTGGTCATAAAATTCAGGGCTAACGTTGTATTCTTTGCTACCAGTAGCAGAAACATTTCTTGGCCTGAACAGAAGTAGAAGTGCAAATACTGAAAGGTGAACCTATCTGTCAAAATCAATGGACTGAATAATGATGACATAATCATTCATTTTCAGCTATTATTTTGAGTCATAAAAAGTAGATGGAGCTATAAAACAATGGCATTTTACCCTGTTCTACCATCAAATATTCTGCCTTTTCCTTTTAAATTATACTAGGATTTGCTGATTATTATAGTGGATAGATATTATCTTGAGAAGACTTGCTTTCCCAAAGCCTCACTTTTCAGCAAAAGGAGCTTTTCAATGATGTCTATATCTCACAAACACAACACTGCTAAGTTGAAATCGTAGCATGTAATCAAGGAAACAGTTTGCAGGCTTTGAAGCTGCACAAATATACTGAAATCTCATACTCATCCTTTACATGTATGAATAGAAATTGAAACGAGTTAAGACAGAGTTTACCTGTTTGGGCATGGTAATGCATAAAGAGAGCGAGCCAAAGTTCTGGTTCTTAGCTGGATATCAGAAAGCATTGTCCAACGGAAATCCAGATCTTCATGTGTTCTGTAATAAATTCGCTGAAGATATAGATTACTTACTGAAGCAAATCAAACTTAATTATTAGCGAAGGAAATGTTAATTAGTAATTGATTTTTTTGTTTAGGAAAAGAAACCCGAATAGAGAGATAGAGAGAGAGAGATATACAATATGGGTTTAGTGGGTGGGTTGCGTAGAAGCGATTCAAGGCGATCGAGCTTCACTCCAAGCTCCAATAGTTTGGATCGAGCAGAGTTTACGACACTCACACTCACACTCAAACTCGTGTGATTAATTCTGCTCTCTAAGTCCTCCACCCATTGCGAGGCCTCTTCAGCTTCTCTAAGCCACGCATCCATTATCAGATTCACGCATATTTTTCAACTCACGAGTGCTAAGTAGTAACTAACAACAAACACAGTGTCACGTGTCAGTGAGTGTCTCACTATCACTATCCTAAACCTTCCTCTGCACTGCCGAAAACAAAACAACATAGTGCCAGTGTCTTGCGTCTTGTGTTTTATTAGAACAAATCTTCGGGGGTGCATAGGTGGGTACAATTTTTTATTTTTTATTTTTCCTAATTGTGTAAAGTTTTTTCCCATTTAAATTCAGTCTTTAATTTTTAATTTTATTTAAGTTCTAAAAATGTTTTTTTTTTCCTATTTCAAAAAAAAATGTTTTTTCCTATTACAAAAAAAAATGTTTTTTTAATAGGATGTAAAAAAATACATTTAATGCGGATTTGGATCTTTTTGTATAAAAATATGAAAAAATGTTCATGTGTTGACATTATTTGAACACAACTATTCATTTAAAAATTATATATTTTTTTCTCTTATCTTATTATTAATAAATAGTTATGATCAAATATTTATTTTTTCCCGTGCAAGAATTCAAATCCCATGCACCGAAGATTTGTTCATTTTATTCGGAGTTTTTGCCGCTTCGCCTGACAAAACCCAGAGGTTAACAAGATATTTTAACATACTTTTTTTTTTAATACAGATATTTTAACATACTTTGTCCAATAATAGAAATTGTTTTGTCCAAATTTTCTAATTCCGCGATGTTTTTTTTTTTTTTTAAACCAATTCCGCAATGTCTTTCCTTTTATTTCACAATAAAAAAATGACGTGCTTTATTTAAAACCAAAAATAAAATTTTTAAAAATTGCATTCATTTGTGTTCACTCATTCATATCTTTATGTAAAGAGATGATCTATTTTGATATTTAATTTGTATTTGTTTAAGATTATCATTTTAAAAATAAATATTAGAATTCGGTTGAAAAATAAGGTAAAAAGAGTATGAGCGGATACCCGTATTTTTAACAAGAGATTTAGTTAAGCTGTAACTTCAACTCAATCTCAAAATTAGTACTAGGGCTTTGTTTTTTTTTCATTTAATATGAGACGAGAAGTTTTGTACTGACACATATTTCAGATAGATTCTACTATCAAGAAATTAAAAAAATAAAATAAAATCAAAGCACATAAATCAATGCATATAGGACAGGAGAAATATTTTCTCCCGAAAATATTTGTCCAATAATATATCTCTCTCTCTGATAATGGAAAGTATCATCAGCTTAAGATAAGTGCAATTTATCATTTTTTTTATATTGAAAATAAGCGAGAGAACTAAAAAGGAAGAAACAGGAGAACTAACAAACGAATTCCTTTAGATTTTATTTATTTATTTATTTTTTAACTACGGGATTTCAGAGGGTTATCAAACAAGTATGCATAATTTCTTTTACTTTTCTGCTTGCACACTTTTGTTCCGATAATTGCATTCCGCCCGTTCAATTATGGTAAGTTAGGTAAAATAGTTTCTTTAGATGAAGAAAAACAAAACAAAACAAAACTGTTTTGCTAAGCAACCATTTTCTCTTTACTAAAAGAACTTTCCGAGTACTCATACATACACATGTTGACGGTCAAGTCTTGTAAATATCACAAGTCAATTATTAAGACATAAACTCTTATTGTTTATCAAAAATTTATTAAACTATAGCATTTCTTATTTTTTAAAAATCAAACCTCATAACATTTAAATGCAATTAGCACTTCAAAGATTTTAAAAAATAAATAACTAACTTAAAACTATTGATATGAACCAATATTGGAGCCATAAAATATCCAATGATACCATAATCCAACACAAGCTAAAAGTCCAAAATAAATACTTAACCAAAAGAAAATGCGTAGGAAATGTATAAGCAAAATCCGACAAGCTATTTTTTAACACAGATAGCTGGACTCTAATAGTTTAGACCCATCAAATCTCCCCGGTGACAAAGACAAGTTTTTAGCTAAACCTCAATAATATACTTTACTTGGAGGCATTACACATTGAAACTAGGTTAAAAAAAGCCATGCAAACAATTCAATCAACAAAGCTTTCAAAACTTAGATACAAGCATTTTATACTTGAGCATTGGAGTGTTTAGTAAGTATCTAACCTCCGTTATTCCGTCGAAAATTATTACAAGATTTTTTCAACGAAATTTCATTCATTTTCTGTCAAAATTTTTGGACGGAATTTGTTTTCTATCGAAAATTATTACAAGATTTTTCAACGAAATTTCATTCATTTTCCGTCAAAAATTTTCTACAAAAATAATATCCGTAAATTTTTTTCGACTGAATCGCTAATTCCGTCGAAAAATTCATTACCAACGAAGAGATACTCGACGGCTACATTTCCGTCGATAATTTCATCGGAAACTTCATTTTCGAAATAATTTTTCTGTCGAAAAAATAGCATTTTTTAGTAGTGCAAGACAACTTCAATAATCCAATCTCGTGCAATAGATCTGTTGAGAAATATAGTCTCACATTAGTTGTATGTGAGGTTTATAAGGCATTGGGCACTCCTACCCTTTGAGCTAGCTTTTGGGGTGGTGACCTCAAGGTTCTTAACATGGTATCAAAGCGTTCAAAATCTCATCGCCTCCCACTTTCTTTGTAGTGGAATTTCCACTTGTAGGTGGGTTTGTATGTTGTCCATCCTTCAAGCCCAGTAAGCTCTCGTATGAGGGGCGTGTTGAGAAATATAGTCTCACATTGGTTGTATGGGCAATTACTGAGAGGTTTATAAGGCCTTGAACACTCCCACCTTTTAAGCTAACTTTTGAGGTGGTGACGTCAAGATTCTTAACAAGATCATTGATAACGAGGGTTTCACCACATTAAAACTCCTCCAATTTGAATCGGGCTTAACTACATGTGATTTGCCCAAGTTCTTGTGATCAGATCGACAATAATTATATTACTGTTAAATTGTGCATATTTCTTTTTTCCCCTAAATGAGAGTATTCATAGTGGTATCGTTAAGAATAATTTTTTGATTCAAAAGTGGTGGTTTAAAAAAACTTTTCTTAAATTTATATCTCTAGGATTCAAAGAGCTAATATAATAAAAAGGTTTCACTTGGAGATTTAATTTAATTTTACCTCAACCAACTATTATTAAGTTAATTGTTTATGTATTTCAAATATTAAAGCAAAATTATAATTCATGCTTACCAATTAATGAAATATTGAAGTCAAAATTGGTCATTACGTAATTAGTAAAAAAAAATTAAATCCTCCTCACTAAGGATTTTAATTATTAAATGAAGAAAGTATTGATGTTTGTTATACTCTTAAAATATCAACTTTTTTTAATTCTTTTTTATTAAACATAAAAAGGATAATTAAGAATGTGTTTTAAAAAGGGATTTGATGTTTCTTCTCCTAAATGCCATTATTTTCGATTTTGAAAAAAAAATGTAGAATATTTTTTTTAAATTATATTATAATAGAAAAGTAAATTTTTTAAAATACCTTGTATTTTTTCAAACCTTTATTACAAAAAAAAATAAAAAAAATTCCCTTTGAAAAAATATGCAACGTTACTCTTTGTATAAATGGTCACAAGTAAAATCAATTGAAATAGAATACGAAAAGCCGTGTCAAATATTTTGTTTAACCAGCATTTGGAATCAAATCAAGATATGGAGACCAACTCACTCACACGGAAGATCCTCAAAACCAACTTGTATGCTGTTTCATTTGAATTTAGTGCTGGCATCGATGAGTGAGTGGGGGAGGGAGGGAGTTAGGTGATGTTACTTATATACTTTTTTTAATATAAAAAACACATAATTATCGAAGATTTTCAACTTTTTTTCACAAAAAATAAAATAAAAAATTCAGCCACTCATTTTTTAATATTTCTATAAGGAATTTTTTTCTTAAAAAAAATTATCCACAACTAATACATTCGGACGAACATTGTCCCTCTACGTGCAACTAGCTCAACCGGAGGAGGATCCTTTTGCTTTGTCTTTGGTGGTGTAATTCTGATGTCCGTTTTCACTTTTCAGTACGCTAGTCAATTCAATGTCCTTCTTCCTTTTCCTCCCTTTCGCTTTTTCTTCTTCTTGTTCTCATTAATTTTTTTTTTATATTCTTTCACTAAACAAAAGAAAATCATAATTAATTTTTACAAATATGTATTATCTAAATTAATGGATAAGTTGAAAAATTATAAAAACTCTTATAAACTACACTGTACACCATGAATAATATATATTAAAACAGTATAATTATTCATGATATATAATGTAATTTATAAAAATTTATAAATATAACCTGCTAAATTAAACAATGACATAATTTCTATATACTTAAGCTTATAGGCCTCTTCATTATACCTTTAATAAAATAAAATAATAAATTAATAAACAGAAAAAAAAAATTGAAATTAATGCAGATAAGTTATCTGCATTTACTTCTAAAACGACGTCGTTTTGAGATTGAAAGATTAGAAAATTATAATTATAAAGACTATAATGACCTTGAAATAAATTAAAATTATAAAGGGTTCATTTTTTCTGCAGTTACTGCAGATAAGTTATCTGCAGTAAGCCCAATACGACATCGTTTTGGGACGGAAATCATGATATTTTGTAATTTTAATTTATTTCAGGATTATAATAGTCTTTATATTTATAATTTTTTAAGATTTCAATACCAAAACGACATCGTTTTGAGAATAAATACAGATAATTTATCTGCATTAACTGCTGAAACATTAATTTTTGTTCCAAAACGACATCGTATTGGGCTTACTGTAATAATGACAGAAAAAGTGAACCCATTAATAAAAATGATTATATTTTATTTAAAATTAATATTTTTAAAAAAAATTAAATAACTGAAGCTGGAATCTATATGGCAACGTGGTAACATTTATTACTATGAAAGACGAGGTATGTTACGCATGTATACTCCTCTGTCCTTGGTCATTCATGTGTGAGATGGTGCTTGCATTTGCACGAGCTTGTGGGATCCACGTCCTAGGAACCGTTCCTGAGTCCTATAACATGCACTTTCCCCAACTTTAACTCCATGAAGAAAAATAAATAAAAATAAAAATAAAATCATAAATACACCCAAGAGAGAATACATTGATTGGCATTGACAGTGAAAGAAGTTTGCTTTTTTTGTCTGCTTCTCTCAGATCTGAGCTGTTTTACTCCTTACATTCCCCGAACTTGTCTTGAATTAACACTCTCTTCTCTCAATTTGGATTCATGGGTTCTAACTCTAACACAGTAACACCCCATTTCCATATTCATTTGAATTTCTCTAACCATGTCTGAGATGGGTCTTGCTGTGTCTCTGATCAAGTTAAGGTAAGGTTCTGTCATAAATTCGTTTCTGTTAAGTTCTGTCTTGTTCCTCAGTGAGTGTTTTTGTCCACTGCAAAATTGGGCACCATATGTTTGTTGAAATATTCGAAGAGAAAAAGCTTTGGAATTGAATTTAATTGAAGCTGCTTTTGCGGGGGAAAAATAAAAAATAAATAAAGAATGAAGGATTTTCCTTCTTGTTTTGGTGAAAATGGAGTTCAAGTAGCTGATTCTTCGTCTTCGAGCGCCAGTAAAACTGCCCAGAATCTGGTTAATTGTGTTTATCAATGCCGGATACGTGGTAGATCGTGCATGATTACTGTCACGTGGAGTAAAAATTTGATGGGGCAAGGCCTCAGCGTTGGGATTGACGACTCTTCGAGTCAATGTCTTTGTAAGGTGGATATCAAACCATGGGTGTTCTCCAAGAGGAAAGGTTGTAAGAGTCTAGAGGGGTATTCTTGTAAAGTTGATGTATGTTGGGACCTTTCTTCGGCTAAATTTGGTTCTGGGCCTGAACCACTGGAGGGATTTTATGTAGGAGTTGTTGTAGATCGACAAATGGTTCTTCTTCTGGGGGATTTGAGGAAAGAAGCTTTCAAGAAGACCAATGCCATCCCTTTACCCTCCAATGCTGTTTTAGTTGCCAAGAAAGAACATATTTTTGGTAAGAAGTTGTATGCTACCAAGGTTGTATTTTGTGACAATGGTCGAATTCACGATCTTGTGATTGAATGTGACACTACAAGTGCTAGTGATCCGTGCCTTATCATTCGCATAGACAGCAAAACTGTGATGCAAGTGAAGCGATTGAGGTGGAAGTTCAGGGGAAATCATACTATCCTGGTAGATGGCCTTGCCGTAGAAGTTTTCTGGGATGTCCATAATTGGCTCTTTGGTACATCTCTTGCAAATGCTGTCTTTATGTTCAGGACAAGCCTCTCCGCTGATAAGTTGTGGTCTAGCCAAACCCTCTCCGAAGCAAATCAGTTGCAGAGTTCTTTCTCTCAGAGATTTTCTGAGACCAAATTGCAGGGTCTTGGTTTCTCGCTTATTTTGTATGCTTGGAAGAACGTGTAGAGATGCAGAAATGCATCATATAGACCTCTTAGTGAGTTTTGATTTTTCAACAATGTGATTAAAATACTGTTGATTAAAAAATGAGTCATTTTGTTTCTCTCATTCCCCATGTTAAATTCATACTCTCAATTTAGCTGAGCTATTTGAACAGATCGGAGACAATATTTTCCAAATCGCTGTAAATTTGTCTTCAAGTATTAATTTTGTGGTCCATATTACTAAAACTACAAAGTTTGAAGTTTGTTTCCTGTGTTATTCAAGCACATCTTTATTCTCCTTTAATTAGTCAGTTTATGCCTATAATTCCCAGTTGTTGTCATATAGTTTAACTCATAGCATTGAGAATTCATTTTATCAAATATGTAAGGCTACAACTCCAAACTGGTAATGTCCAGTTATTACGAAGGTACAACAAATATTTTTAGCAAAAAAGTGTATTAAGCATAGGGGAGCTGAGGTTGAAGATGAAGATCACCAAATTACAATGAATGTCATTGTTCTTTCTTTCTTTTTTAATAACCATTTGAGACTTTCTTCTATGCTTCGTGGAACTGAGATGGTGAAGCTATCATCAGGCTATGGAAGATTAGTACTTGTATTATGCACTATGTAAGGCGCATGGATATGAATATTCCCTGCCTTAAATAGAATTGCCTACTCTGATGCCTGATAATGATTAGCAAATTGGGTATGTGACTTTGGCCAATTATATATTTACATATTAGTAGGTCAGATATCATTTTACTTTACTCTCTGAAGACGATTGCCAGTCTGCCATGGCTTGTGAATCATTGTTGTCTCTGCAAAAACTTTCTGCTGCTGAACCTGATGGGATATCCTCTGCTCATCATGACCTCTAATGTAAGTCACAACTCCCTGTAACAATGCTCTGCTGTTCAATGATGTTACCATTAGACCTGTCATAGCCAAATCACCAATATTTATCTCTTTTTAGCCCTGTAGCTTATTTGTTGTATGATTAAGTGATACAATTGTCTGTCATTCTTTTCATACTCCAGCACAAGCTGTAACTCTCACACTCCTGCATAGTCTTTTTTATGCTGTTAATCTTTTTAGCATATAGGTATTTTGTTTTGATTCCCTTATCCCTGAAATCATAAATGAAATCTGTTCAGGAAATTTCACCTGGACGTAGTGAGAGATTGTGTTTGAGCTTCCATGGACGGAGATCAAATGGTAGTAGCCGGCGGCTTCTCCGTGTGTTTGGGAAAGAGGGGATGATGTACCCGTAGATATTGTAACACTCAAATCAGTATGTGAATTAGATAGAATGTGTGAAGTTAGAAGCATACATCTCCCCTGAATGAGGGAGAAGCCCCTTGCCTATGTATGGCGACATGGAGTGTTGGCTTTGCTATAGTTGTTGAGATGTGATTAAGGGGCCATGGATTTGGGGGATTTCCTTACAAGAGTTGTTATTTGGTTTAATATTTACTGATTGTGCCATCTTTGACTTGTAGTGGAGGGGAGTGGGCAAAGGGCTTATGTGGGGGCCAGGGACTAATCCAGAACAAAATCTAACACGTACATGTATACATGTGTATGTACTTATACTCCTAAGGGTTGTCATCCGTATCTATCCCTGTTTCGATCGTTCGGGGCTATCTCCAAATTTTGATACCCTTGAGAGTCTTTTTAAATACCTGTTGTTTGCGGAGAATTCCTTATTATGGTTTCCAATTATCTAGCCAAGTATTTCCTGTTAACTCCCACAGTCCCACTTATCAGTCTGCTCTTCATACTATGTTCTTGGTAACTTAGAATGTAGTTTTCATGTATATATATATATATATCTATCCTATTTTTTAATCCTTCATTTAGCAGAAAGTGATTGCACAAATCAGATGTATATAATTTCAGATAGCATTATCCACTTATCCTTGCTTTAGGAGTACAATTCCCAAGGATGAAGTTCATGAACCACTGACCTCAACTGTGCAGTCAAAATGGATGACTGCAAGGTAATAAGATGGAGCAATGTAAAATCACTACATCATATTAGTCTCAGAAAAAAATTGGTGATTGCCTTGAAAGTTTGCTGCCGATGTTCTGCTTGTGGAATAGGATTTCTGTAAATAACATTATATATATCTTTGCATTTATGTCTCTTTAAACAAAAACTTAAGTTATTAGGTGAAGACAAATGAATGGCTTCTATATTTATGTTTTTAACACCAGTACGTTGAGCAAATAGAATATAACTAGGGAAATCTGAAGTGATAAAAACAAACGGAATTTTTGCCATTCTAAGATTTGATCACTGACTGTAAGATTACAAGTCTTGTGTTTGTCCTGTTTGGTGGTAATAAATGAGAAATATTTGTTTCCCGTCATAAACAAGTTGCTGACTTGCTGGGACTCGTGTATTTTACAAAAGTTTACAGGCCTTGTTAATGAAGTTATTACAGGTTGCATGTTCCAGTTTTCCATTTCAAGACTTGAAGAATTCATGTGATGCAAAGAAGTTTTGTGTTTTTTATTTTTACTTTCTGGATAGAATTACCCCAACTCGAGAAAGGGAAGGATATTTATGAACACGGAAGGATTAAGACTAGGAGCACAGTTATTTATGACAGAGTACTGATTTTGGGATTAAGACTAGGAGCACAATTTTAGGATATTTGACATGACACTTATATGAAGTCATTTTTATTGACATTGACATGAATGCATTAGTTTTGGGATTTCAGGCGTATTTTACGTATAGGTTGTACATGACCCCCATTCTCTCCCTCGGCTAACTTAATGATACCAGTAGCTGTAATTAAACACTAACTCTACTCCTGTTTTTGTTTTTGAGGGCTAACAAACAATTTATGCTTCTATTTCCTTCACTGAGTAGAGTATGGGGGCATGCCTAATCCCAGGTGATCACTAATTAACCTGACTATAATTGGGCTTTCATTTAGTTTTTATGAATTATGAGCATTTCAGTTTAAACAACGGCGTTTCAGCGCAACATTTAGTTGTCACCCAAAGAGAAAGGGTAATATTATAGTGTAAGATATAATACCTTTGCCTCTTTCTTAAAAAAGTTCATGAACATTATTACAAGTGCCCTAGAAATGGAATTGTCAAGAGTACTAGTTGACCAAAAGTAATGGCATTTTTTTAAGTAAAAAAAGGACTGCTCTGCACCCTAGATAACGAGATCATTTTTTATACGACGAGTGTATAGGGCTAAAAAATTATAAATATGTAGTCGTTTTGAAAATAATTATGAAAATATAGCACCTAAACACGTCCATATGAGATGTGTTCAAATGGAGAGAGACACGCCCAAGATGGGCGTGAGCTACAGGGAAAACACGCCCACATGGGGCGTGACCAAGAGGAGAGAGACACGCCCATTAGGGGCGTGACCTATCAGGAAGACACGATCACATTGGACGTGTTCCAGCGGAAGGTCCTGCCCATTCTGGGCGTGAGTGACCCAACTGCAGCCTATTTAAACACTCACCCCTCTACACACTCTTCACAACTCTTCTCCCTCATTATTCTTAAACTCCCACATTCTTTCGCAGTTGTTTATTTGTAGTTTGCACTTGTTTATTGATATTTTGCACTTTTTTACTCATATTTCGTTTTATCTTATTATTTTTTAATTTTAAAGAATAAGTTTGAATTCTAATACTATTCGTGTTGTTCTATATTTTAACGGTAGGAAAGAGAAAGGTCGTCGTGGTGTTGTTTATGTAGGGGAGAAAAGGTCATCACGTATTAAACGGAACTCAACGGTTGTTGAGCTGCATCAGAAAATACGCCAAAAATTATGTCTTCAAGACAATCAATCAATCACTCTAGTCACGACAAGATTATCGCAACGTGAACAATACATTAGTTTGCAAGTGATCGATGACGAAGACATCGATATGGTAATGGAAGAGTTCTTGAACCAGTCTAGAAATAATTTCTTAGAGTTGTAGAAGATGAACATGACCCCTACCTGGGTTATGGATGAGGACTATGAGGAAGATGATGAGGAAAATATTGCTTTGGAGGATCGTCTTCTTGCAGAGGATGCGAGTGCATCGGACAACGACGAAGAATGTGGCAGGTCGGGTACTCAACTTTAACCATGGCATGATTTGAGGGAGTCTCGTATCGTAGTACATCATGACACAATCTCGAGTCAAGTACCAAATATACCTGAAGGTATGCTATGTAACAACTATTCATGTTTGCGTGCTGCGATTTTTGCTTAAGAAAATAATTCAAGTTTATTATTATTATTACGTAGTACATGCAGACGATGTACTTGTTGCTCCTTTTTGGTCTGAAATTCCACATTACATATATATTGATTGGGATTTTTCGAGTGAGGCACAATCATGTACGCAGAGTTCGGGTTCAATCCAGGGTCCACGGCAATTGGGGGAAAAGTTGTTTGTTAACTAGCAATTTACATCCAAAAAAGAGGCTTAAATGGCAATCAAGCGCAACCTCATGAAGGAGCATCAAGAAGCAATTGTGGTTGAGAGCACGCCTACAAAGTTAAACATGAAATGTTGTGCGCATGTCCAAGGTTGCCCATGGAGGATCAGGGTAATTAAACCAACGTATGGTGAAAATTGGAAGGTAACGAAATAGGGTGGGGATCACAATTGCTTGAATGACCATAATTCTCAAGATCATCGACAACTTGATTCTGACGTTATTGCATCACTTGTAGTAGGTATGTTATTTCAAAGTATGAAGCTGATTACAAAATTTGGTTGATATACCTGTAGTTCTGTCTGTTAATGTATATATCCGTCTTTTGTTTGTCAGAGATGATAAAAAAAGAACCATCAGTGTCCTTTGCGCTGATCCAGGAGAGGATAACTCATTCTTATGGTTTCAAAATTTCATATAGAAAGGCATGGTATGCGAAGCAGAAAGCCATGGAAATGTTGTACGGTGATTGGGAAGAATCATATGCATATTTATCCAGGTGGTGTGAATATATGCTTCGTTTTTCACCAGGTTCCTTTTACAATATTCAAACAAAGGATTGTTTTGTTGGTGGGCAGTTGGTCCCGGGAAAACGCGTATTTCTTCGTTGTTTCTGGACTTTCAGACAATGTTGTGAGGCATTTAAT